ATGGCAAGACATGAAACTCCAACTTATCTCCGATAGGTCCAAAGCATTGTGTTGAGAGGCTAGATCTTAAATCCATTTGGTCATGGAGGCTACGAATTTGAATAAGAGGGAATTACCACCTCATTGGGATAAAAGTGTGTGGTCCATTTTGGCCTCAGGCCTTTTTCCTTAAAAGAAAGTTTTTGGTTTTGTCCTGAGTTCTGAAATGAATCTTCTTGTTTTCAGAGGAAGACAGCTTTTATTGCTTTATTAGAAGTAAGAAGGTGCTTAATCCCGAGGTGCTAGCAATGCTCTGGATGTATTAATCTGAAAATCACCAACCAGTTACCACACAGATGCAACTGCCTGCCAAAATGAGCACCACACATGGGATCCAGTGTTAATGCAGTTTACAAGTGGGAAAGGTTTGTGCAGTATCATGCTTTGCTATTTGCCTGTGCAGTGCCCAATCACCTGGAAGTGATTCAATCCAATAGCCTAAGGCTGGCCTTAAAATGAGCAGTTTTTTTTTCCCCCTATTCAGCAGTAGAATGGAAAAGTGCACACACACTCACATGCAACAGCAGGTGTCACCACTGTCAAAATGCACTGACCAGCATATCCTTTCATCAAAAGTCAAATGATCAACTTCTGCAGAGTAGGGAGGGCCACACAATGATCAAAATTCAGGTTGTCCCTGCTGAACCATCCGAATTTTGATCAGTCTATGGCCAGCTTTAAAATAAACTCTTCTGTGTCCACTGATGTATGATTAAAAAAAATATGTTTTTCATATTTACTGGCGATATTACTCTCTTACAGAGACCCCAAATGAATGAACACCAAAGCTCAACATTTCTAAAGCTTTTTATTTTTTGTGGACAAATTAAAAAAAAAACAAAGTATACTTTAACATATGTTGGCTTACATTGTTGTAAAAGATTATATCATATCACCAATATATCAGAAACAAGTTTTAAATTAGGCTATCAGCAGTATGAAAACGCTATTAAAAGAAGGAAAAAAAATTTATGTGACAACCAGAGAAAACAAAATATGGTAATGGCATCATCCAGAAGATTGGAAGGCAATACACCAATGTGACATAACCATTCTACATATAGCACCATAAAGTGGTCCCATATTTGATATTTCCAACCTGATTTTTAAATAGTGTCATTAGATATTTACTACAAAACTGTAATAATGCAGAACTACAGAATGCATGATGCCCATGATGTACTTTGTGTCAACACTAGCACAGCTGAAAGGTTGGCAGGCCTTAAAGCTGAACTTATAGTGACTATCACTGCAGCATGCGATAAAAAGGAAAGGTTATCACGTTCCTTGCCATGGTGTGTAAGCAATTTCCAGCTGCCCTTAGAGACCATTTGCTTATCCATTCCAATAGATGCCTTTTATACAACTCAATACACAGCCTTCAAGGAGGTAGAAACATCCCGAATGGTTGCAAGTTACAGTTTGTCAACAATCCAGGCAGGGAAGGTAATACCAGTTATTTTATTTCATAGGCTGTAAAGCAAGGGTATATATATCACTGTAAATTCAATTCATCTTTAATATCCAACAAATCATTTATAAATCTGTTACACAGATACCAATTTAAAAAAAAACATGATGTGAAAAACCCTGCAGCAACAAATCACATGTGAATTGTTTTTCATTTGTGCATAAAAAGCCAGTTGGTTACTGTAGTTTCTAGCTTTTTTACACTACAGAAGTGTCCAAATCCAAAGATTCACACACAGTCCAGGATTTTAGGACTTGCATAAATTGTTTTGCTTAAAGCGGCATTAAACCCAAAAGCAAATATTATATTGCAGCCTGCCAATTCTTAGATGTGATGGCAGCATTAGTTTTCTTTTCTAGGCTGTCTTTCCTTTATTTTCACCTACTGCTCTTGCCAGCAAGTCTGATTTTCAACAGAACAAGCTGTCCTGCAGACACAGCAATTACAGCAATGAGAGACAAACCATTTAACACTGACAGGAGTGCTTACAATGGTTAGCTTTTATATAAAACCTTTATCCCAAAAAAAAACACAGTTTGCTGTAACTGCTTGTAAAGTGTTAGTTGGATTTTGACTTCAATTTGTTAGTGTATTTAATTCTGATGTGCATTTAACACTCCCCTCTGCCAAGACTGACAATGCTGCTGTCTAAAGCTTGCTCTTTCATTCAGAGTGCAGGCAATCTAATACAGGAGGTGAGTTACTGGCCAGATCACTAGGTGACAGAGGGAATAGAGCCTAAAAAAAGAAAACTAATGTATTCACAATTAATAATTGGTAAATTATGAAATATATTACAGTTTTGGGTTCTATACTGCTTTAGTGAACTAAACAATTCAAATAATATATGTCAAGGTATTTCTAAGGGGCAAGGCATATGAGGACTGAAATGCACTAAAATAGGGAACTGCAGTAGATGCACTTACAATGTGTACTTTACATATCAACTTTCAGCAATGAACTAGCCGATTTCTGATTGGCTTCTATAAGCCTCTGCAGACAGTTATGTCCACAGTGCAAGTTTTGACCTTACATTGCTACAATGGTACTATATATGACTAAGGTGGTAAAATATGAGCCCCTGTTTGTTGCATCCTTTTCAAAGCACAAAGATATCACTAACATTGCATTCAACCACATACAATAAAAAATAAATAACAGCTTTGACATGGGATTAAAAATGCGAGCGTTCTTAAATTATGCAATTCAAGTAAAAAAACACTTTGCAAGACATTAAATAAAGAACATAATATTTACTCATTTTTAGCTGCTGCCATTGGGTTAAGTTCACTTATTTATTGCAAGGAACTAAAATCGGCCTGTAGCCAGTCATAGTGGACTAAAAGTATTATAGACCATAAAAACCTTCCCTGCAGAGAACTTTGCCTGACAGATACACTGTATACACAAATACAGTATATGCATAAACTTGGTAAAAGAATACTCAAGCACAATCCAGCTCAAGTTTAAAAAAAAAAAAAAAAACAAAAAAACACATTTTGCTATTTTGTTAAAAGTAAACAAAAATGTTTGATGTCCAAAATTTACAGCACCACTGTTATATCCATATAAAAATGGAACAATTGATGATTTCCTAAAAATAAAACAGCATTAAGTGTAGAGCATGCAGTTCATGAACAACTGCATCACACAGCCAACATCAAATACAAAGCAACTGTGACTACTCTAGTTAATATGCTTTTTCCAAAAAGTTAAATTTTTTAAGATTCCTACCTTAAAATAATTGTTACTACTACTGCTTACATTTTAATAAAAATAAGAGGTAACATTTGAAACAAACAAAAAAAAGGCTTCAGTTAGTCAACTTCAACTGAGGTTCAGTTCCTTGTGACTGCAATAAAACTGCAGTGACACTTGCATAGCTTTGAACACGCAGCAAATCTTAAGCACTGCTGCTTTCTTGTGGCCGGTCCTCACAGTGGTTAAGTGCAGACATTTGCTCAGTATGGAGCTCAGGTGGCCGCTGCTCGTTCTGAACAGAGTTACAAGGTGCTAAAAAAAAAAAAAGTGCAAAATCAAAGTTAAAACAATAATATAAACTTCCTACAATTTTCAATGCACGAAAAACTTGCAAAGTTTACTGCCATCATATCCTTCTGTGCTTCTGGGAGGGATCTTTACAGGTTTTTATTTACTACTCTTCACTCTGCCTTTATGGTACCACAGCACCTAAATCAAATAAGATTCCAGCTAGAACATCCCCCTATACAAGTATAATACCTGGGAATTGACATCTGTTTTTTGCATCTAAACCAGACACACGCAGTGCGGTGTGAGTATTTAGTGGTAACTGATGTGAAACAGGGCTCAGTTTTCTGCTAGTTCTTAAAGATGATCTCCAGCCTTCATTCTGTAGCTCTAGTGTGATGACTTACCAATAGCTTGTCTTCTCTATGGCAGAGATAAAAAAATGTAGGGAGGAATGGATACAACATTTTTTGTCTGAATTCCCCCAATAAAAGCTAAAGTGGAAATCAGAGCTGTATATACAGAATGGTGGAGTTCCAGCTGTGCAGACATCCACTATTCTGAGTCAAGAGAAATGCACATTTTGTTCTCCTCTACAAAATTACAGCTATGTTTAAATATTTTTCTTTCTTTTTTTTTTTTTTTTTTTTTAAGTATGGGAAAGGAAAGGATATTAAGCGTTAGAATACAAGGGTTATAAAATGAGTGGGGGAAAAAAAAAAAAAAAAAGCATACATGCACATTTCCTTACATTTTGTCCCATTAAAGACCTGCAAGTACGGAAAATCTGCCAGAAAAGCACTTGGGTCCTAAGGCAAGCCATAGATGATTAAATGTTCTTTCCTACAACCACGGTTACAGAAAAGTAAAAAAAAAAAAAAAAAAAAAAAAAAAAATTCGCTGGATTCCTTGCGTGGAGCTATTGTGCTTTCCCAGCGGAGCGCCCTCCCTCTCGGAACACAATGATTACTGTTATAGGCTATAGCTGCTGGCAGTAATCACATGAAAAAGTCCAACTGGCTAGTTGTCCCCATGTCAATCAATGGATTGACTTTGGTACAACCAGCCTGCCCATAGATGGATCGAATCTCACCCAGTACCTGCTGAACCAGCCGTTATTCAATCCACCTATGGCCGTCTTAAGTCATGTTGGTGGATAACATGCAGCATTTTTGTGGACTGCATGGTGTCAGCCCTACCTTGTCGTCTTTTACTAAACAACTCACCCGCTCCTAGCTTACTCTCTACAAACATAGACACCATTATCTTGTCCAAGGAAAGAACGACTAATTAGCTTGAGATAACGCAGTGTTCAGAAGACACAGGATAGCTCTGAATCTTTGACAGGTATTTTTTTTTGCCCTTACCAAATAGCTGAACACATTTTTTATAGGCAGCAGGAGACATTCATTGGCAGGATTTACATATACTTTAAGCTTTATTTGATATCAGTCTGTGCTTTGCTTTGATGTAAATGCATCGGGAAATGCAAGAAAAAAAATTAAAAAAAACAAAAAAAACAAAAACACAAATGCATACTAGTCTTGAAGTAAAGCAAAAAATCACCACCAGAGCACTTACCTTCCAAATTAGGCAAGTTGCATGAACTGCTGTCTCCATTAGGCCTTTGCTCATTCAAATTCCCACTAGCAGCTTCATCATAGCCAGGATCATACTTCTCTTCCTTCACAGCCTGCCTCTTTGCATCCTCTATACAGGAGACAAAAAGTACATAAGCTCAAAACTAAAAGATTTCTTTATCTTCAGTTAGAACATTTATTACAACACTTAATAACATAGGCAAGTCATTTAGTCCAAGTCATTTCGTCTATAGTGCAATGGGAGGAAACGTACAGAAAGCACTATCCTGTTGATACCATTTCACTAAAACAGGCCTGCTACATAGCTAAGCTCTATATGCAATATAGAATGCTAATAAACACAAATAATAAATAAAAACTGCAACTTCTTTAAAAATGTACTTACAGAAAAATTAGGTTGTTGCAAAATCTGGGCAGAGCGATTAGGCAACTTACAAACTATCTTCTAAAGGAGCAAATGAATGAGGAAAAAAGAAAGGGGGAGCAACCTACCCTGAGCCAACTGCAAGTCAAATGTATACTGCACTTCTTGAACCTCTCTGGTCAGCTCTGTGCCCTTTAGATGGTCTCTTAAGTCCTTTAACTTGATGTAGTGATGTACCTTGTCCTGAGCACTCGGGGGAAACTGTGCACACCGGGCACTGGAAGAAGGCATAACATAGCAAACCTGTAAAAAAAAAAAAAAAAAAAAAAAGAAGGAAACAGTAATTTGTAAGATCCCCTTCCTGCTGAGCTCTACAAATACATTCTTTATTTTCAAGGATGGAAGGTCATTTAAGCCCCCCTTTAATCACAAACCGTTCTCCCTTTCCAGAAGTGAACAATCCTTAGAACAGTCCGAATAAGTCACAAAAGTTGCACTGCATGATGACAGAGTAAATTACAAAGAAGGTCAAAACGCAGCCTCTGAATTGCCATGCGTACTGCTCAAATAAAGTCAATTTATTTTGCTGACCTGAATTTGATGAGTGTTCCAAATGCATGTCAAATGCAGAAAAACACCACCCATTAAAATGAGCTTTTCAGGTGCAAAAAAAAAAAAAAGGACTACAGTAAAGGTAGGCCTGAGGCTATACTGGCATCTCCAAGAAAGGGAAGAGCAGCCACTAAACTGAAGGTGAAAGGGTAACTCTTGATACAGCTGGTCAAACTGTACATGATCATTTGCCATTTTTAGGGCTCATTCAAAAGTATGCGTTGCAGTAACGAGTGAACTCAACACACTTTTACAGCAGTGGGAAGAGCACCAGCACAGCAAGACACATGCCACATGTTGTGGTGTACGGTTTTAAAAAGAGTCACGTCCCCTTTTTCACTAGTTAGGGTGCACGGTCAGCCCAAACAAAATGAATGGGGGGCCATAATGCATTAACATGTTGTGAAAACACTGAGCATAACAATCATGGCATCTCCAATGTACAAGTAACAAGTTACCAATTAGATATAACTCTAAGATCATCTTAAACCGAACTTCACAATCTCAATCAACATTTTTAATCCTTATGGTGCTGGCACAAGGAATTAGAAAAGTATATCAAATTTACTTGTTTTAACCATTTTTTTTCCTTACATTTTTTCAATTACTTCCTGGTTTCCTTGCATAGGCAAATGATGACATACAGTCAGGTCCATAAATATTGGGACATCGATACAATTCTAACATTTTTGGCTCTATACACCACCACAATGGATTTGAAATGAAACGAACAAGATGTGCTTTAAATGCAGGCTGTCAGCTTTAATTTGAGGGTGTTTACATCCAAATCAGGTGAACGGTGTAGGAATTACAACAGTTTGCATATGTGCCTCCCACTTGTTAAGGGACCAAAAGTAATGGGACAATTGGCTTCTCACCTGTTCCATGGCCAGGTGTGTGTTATTCCCTCATTATCCCAATTACAATGAGCAGATAAAAGGTCCAGAGTTCATTTCAAGTGTGCTATTTGCATTTGGAATCTGTTGCTGTCAACTCTCAAGATGAGATCCAAAGAGCTGTCACTATCAGTGAAGCAAGCCATCATTAGGCTGAAAAAACAAAACAAACCCATCAGAGAAATAGCCAAAACATTAGGCGTGGCCAAAACAACTGTTTGGAACATTCTTAAAAAGAAGGAACGCACCGGTGAGCTCAGCAACACCAAAAGACCCGGAAGACCACGCAAAACAACTGTGGTGGATGACCGAAGAATTCTTTCCCTGATGAAGAAAACACCCTTCACAACAGTTGGCCAGATCAAGAACACTCTCCAGGAGGTAGGTGTATATGTGTCAAAGTCAACAATCAAGAAAAGACTTCACTAGAGTGAATACAGAGGGTTCACCACAAGATGTAAACCATTGGTGAGCCTCAAAAACAGGAAGGCCAGATTAGAGTTTGCCAAACGACATGTAAAAAAGTCTTCACAGTTCTGGAACAACATCCTATGGACAGATGAGACCAAGATCAACTTGTACCAGAGTGATGGGAAGAGAAGAGTATGGAGAAGGAAAGGAACTGCTCATGATCCTCAGCATACCACCTCATCAGTGAAGCATGGTGGTGGTAGTGTCATGGCGTGGGCATGTATGGCTGCCAATGGAACTGCTTCTCTTGTATTTATTGATGATGTGACTGCTGACAAAAGCAGCAGGATGAATTCTGAAGTGTTGGAATATTATCTGCTCATATTCAGCCAAATGCTTCACAACTCATTGGACGCCGTTTCACAGTGCAGATGGACAATGACCCAAAGCATACTGCAAAAGCAAGCCAAAGAGTTTTTTAAGGGAAAGAAGTGGAATGTTATGCAATGGCCAAGTCAAATCACCTGACCTGAATCCGATTGAGCATGCATTTCACTTGCTGAAGACAAAACTGAAGGGAAAAATGCCCCAAGAACAAGCAGGAACTGAAGACAGTTGCAGTAGAGGCCTGGCAGAGCATCACCAGGGATGAAACCCAGCGGCTGGTGATGTCTATGCGTTCCAGACTTCAGGCTGTAATTGACTGCAAAGGATTTGCAACCAAGTATTAAAAAGTGAAAGTTTGATTTATGATTATTATTCTGTCCCATTACTTTTGGTCCCTTAACAAGTGGGAGGCACATATGCAAACTGTTGTAATTCCTACACCGTTCACTTGATTTGGATGTAAATACCCTCAAATTAAAGCTGACAGTCTGCAGTTAAAGCACATCTTGTTAGTTTAATTTCAAATCCATTGTGGTGGTGTATAGAGCCAAAAATTTAAAAATTGTGTCGATGTTTCAATATTTATGGACCTGACTGTACATCCAAGGAGTCTTCAGGAAGGGAGGGGTTTTCTCAGATAAGAACACCCTCCTGCATGCATGCCTGAGCTAAGTGCAGATGGATTAGAGGAAGTAAATGCTAAATTAATCATCTGCCCTTATTCAAAATGGCCATAGCCAGAAATGCTAGGGGGTGTTTATCAAAGTGATTTCTCAGCAAAATAAAGCATGTGAAATGATTAGATTTGCAATAAATATAAAAAATGAATTAAATAGCATTTTTGGTTTGTGGTGCTCAGATGCAGTATAGTTCCATTTTAAAGCTTCTCCAGATATAAATGCTAAAATGTCCATGTGAGGCATGTAGATTAGCAGCACTTTTTTGGCATAACTGTTTAAATATACACTGGACCACATGCCTGCAGAATTTACCTACATGAATGTGTACCTGGGAGAATTGCTACCGTTTTAAAGCCAAAAGGTTGACACACCACATTAATTTGATTTTTTTTCTGCTTATGCACTTTATAGGTTTTTAAATTGATATATAAAACTATTTTTGAAAGGATCCTTGCTTTATGGCGTTTTCACATGTGAGCTCTGGCTCATTCACAATTTAGAGTACAAAGGTGCAGTAAGAGCATTTTGTTGGTAAAACTTGTAATTGGATTTTCAAGGCAAAATACTGACTGTCTCTGTATCAGGAACTCTGTGTGGCTGGATTCCAAATTCAAATTTTTTAATCTTGACACCAAATACTTCTTTACTGAAAATTTCATATATACCTGCATGGAAAAGAAAACAATGCTTCAGGCGTGATATGATTACAATATGACGTCATGTAGTAAAAGAAACCATTCTTATCTCACATTTTCCATTGAAGGCAGCTATACGTGGTTTATACTTCTGAAGCTTCTGTAGAAGTATTCTTCCACCTTCCCGAAATTCTTTGCTGGAAAGCAGAGAGAAGTGATATTAGGATATAGTGAAATCTGATATGATAAATTTGTTTTACTTTTAAATCCAGCTACATGTTACCATCCAACATAATCTTTTTATACCTACTAAATACTATTCAGTGATAAAGTATCATTAAGTGCATATAAATTGAATTGCTTATTTCTTTAGGCCCTGGCATTACAAAATCAGACTGTGTGGCCAGAATCAGTCCCAATGGATTCTTCACACACGGCTCACTTTCTTCACTCCCAAGAGATGAACTAAAAGCGAGCCCTTAAAGTAGAACTATAGGCAAAAAAATATTTCTCATTTTGAATACAGCAAGGGAAGGTTATAACACCTGTCAGATATTTTTCTTTTTGCCATCTGTGTCCCATTGCAGAGATTTCCCTTCACTTCCTGTTCCATGGCCAAACAGGAATTCCCTGCAAATTAAGGAAATTCCTTGGGGACCCCCAGGCCATCAGAACTAGTGTACCTATTGGAAGACTTCCCCTCTATTACTTTTCTGGGGACAACCCAAAATGTGGGATTTTCTTTTACTTTGACAAAATAGAGAAGATGAATCTCTCTAATGGGGCACAGACAGCAATAACAACTGACAGGCATTCTAGTACCTCTCAACTCTATCCAAAACTAAGAAAAAAAAAAAAAAAAGTTTTGCCTTTGGTTATACTTCAAATTGACGGGTTTACATCCACTTTAAAAGAATTCTTTTGAAAAGCAAACACACCTGTGTGATGTCTCAGATTGAAGCTGCACATTTTTTTTTTCCAGAAAGTAGCTGCGCATGCTTGGTAAACCAGTAGTAAAATGACAATATGGGGGGGCGTGGCCTGGAGCAGCATGGGGTAGGGTACACTTCTGGGAGCTCCGTCTGAGACTCATCCACTTCCACTGATCCTGACTATTATCCTGCTCATACTAACACCTGTTACGCTGTTTGCTAAACTTTTCTCCATCTCCTGGTAATATGTCGCTGCCGAAGAAGGGTGCCGACGCTGGCAGTAAACTTGATAAGTTCCGCCATAAAGAGAAGGACATTGCGGTGGAAGATGGAGCCTCTGCCTCGGAGGAACCAGTGAAGTCTGACACTAACAAGGTACTGGAAGCAAACTCTAACTGCCAGAGTACCTTAACCTGTAAGATTGAGGAGGTGAAGATCGATATTTCGACAGGATTTACAAAAACTCCAGGAGCGGGTTACGGAGGCGGAAGCGCGGCTTAGTCACATGGAGAACGATTTGCCGTCATTACAAGTCACCACCGAACGCCTGCAACATCAGATTCATACAGAGCTGCAAAAGCAAGATGATATGGAAAACAGGCTTCGCCGCTGCATCCTCCGGTTTGTTGGTCTGCCTGAGAATGTGGAGGGCCCCGACCCGGCCTCCTTTTTGGAATCGTTACTCACTGCTACCCACGGGTAGGGGGGCATTCTCCGCTACCTTCGTGATGGAGCGCGCCCATTATTTGGCCTCTAGGCCTCTACCCAAGGGAGCCCCGCCAAGCACGTTTATTGCCAAATTTCTGAACTATCGGGACCATGACACAATTCTTTGTCTTAACCAGGGAAAAGGGAAGTATCCCGTTCCAGAATGTCAGAGTCATGGTTTTTCCAGACTTTTCGGCAGAGGTCCAAAAACGTTGTGCGCAATTTGTGGAGGCTAAGAGACAACTCCAGATCCACCGTATGTCCCTATGCTATGCTTTTCTCTGCTAGACTTCGAGTCGTGGGGGATGACAAGGTTCATTTATTTGAAGATCCAGAATTGATGCTGACCTGGTTGGATCAACGGACAGCACCAGGACCTGCTTTGGCCTGATATACCCCCTTTTCTTTCTTTTTTTACTCATTATTATTACTGGGACGGTTTCTGCTATTATGCTTGGTCTCCCCCTAGCCCGGTGCCCCGAGAGTGTATCCCTTTGTCTGTTCCTCTCCTATTACTCCTTGTCTTCACCATCTCATTTTTCCCTTTTTTATTTACTGGTGTTTGTTCCTCTTCCTTTCCTCCCATTATTTTTCTTTTCAAATGCTTCATATTCCAGCTTCAGCTGCTGTCTCCTGATCTTCTACATCCTTTTTTGTGAGTCTTGCGCACTTTCGCTCTAGATGTTTGATGTCTCCCCCCTCTACTTGGTTTCCTTTTTTTCTCCTCCTTTCTTCCTCAATCTTTTTTCTCTACTTTTCCCAGATTTATTTTTTCTTTTTTCCCCCCTTTTGTCTGTTTAGTTTTTTCCTTCTCTTCCATCCTCTCTCACTCCCTACTTTTCTCCCCTTTCTCTCCCTCATTCTTCCCTCTCTGTGTCTCCTTCCCTTTATTTCTCCTCCTCTTTTTTCCTCTCCCCCTCTCCTTTCTTTTTCTATTCTTCTTTATTTTACTTTTATTGGTTTTATTCTGGGTTATTTACTTTAATGGGACACCTGGCAGCCTGAGTTGTGTACTGATTTTCAGCGAATTGTTCGCTCCCTAGTACCTGGAGCTCTGTTCCCACGCCCTGGGCGTGGTTGCTGTTTTTTGTCCGCAGAATTCAGTTGTGAGCGGAGCTCTGTTTTTTATTTTTCATTATGCAACTTTATGTGTGGTTTCCCTGGCCAGCTGTAGTGGGATGCTCTGTTTTGCTCCCTTCTCCATGCTGGTCCAGAGTCTATAGCTTATTTTCTTATTTGTTCCAATTGTTCCTATTTGTTTTATACTGTGTTTGCAAACTTAAGAGGAATGTCATGCTATCCATTGCTGATTTCATGGTGCCACTGTATGGGGCTCGTTTATCTATGTCCCAGATAAGTGTATACCTGTATTTGGTATTACCCCCTGATCCTATTGTATACTATGTCTTGCACTTGAGGATTTGCCTGCCCAACCTTTTACTTTTTATAGTGCCATGGCCTCCCTTAAGTTCCTGACGTCCGCGGTATGAGAGCTCGACCTAAGCGTACTGCAATTATGTCCTAACTAAAATCTCTGCGGGCTGATGTGGCGGTCCTTGTGGAAACCCACGTCACCGGTCAACTTCAGATGGCCCTTAAAAAACCCTGGATTGACTGGCTTTATCAAGCTACCTACACCTCCAATTCATGTGATGTTGCCATAGTGATTGGTAAGACTGTCCGTTTCCAGTTATTGACCTCGCAGGCGGATCCACAGGGCAGGTTCCTTTTTTTACATGCTGTTCTTAATAACATTGAAATGTTGATATTGGCCTACTATATCCCTCCCCCCTTTCAGTTTGCGTTATTCAATGAGGGTCTGACGTTCATTGCATGTCATCCTGGTATTCCTGCAATGTGGCTGGGGGATTTCAATATGATTATAGACCCTAGTTTAGATAAATTGGATTATGACCCCTCTGCTCCTACTCCATCCCATGTTACCTAAATTGGTAAACGTTTGATGGAATTTGCGCTGGTGGACACTTGGAGATACTTGCACCTCATGACCAGGGCTTACTCCTGTTTTTTCGGCCTCCTACTCCACGATGTCTCGCATAGATTATATATTTATATCTAAATCGTTACTATCCAAGTTGGGGGATGCAGGTTTTGTCCCTCGGGTGTTGTCAGACCATGCTCCCTACTGGATGACACTCAGCCAGCCTTCTTCCTCCCCTACTTATATGTCGAATCCTTTTTGGCTGACTGTCCTCCCAGATTTGGAGGATGTGCAGACCGCTTGGGGTTGTTATTTTGCACATAACGTGGGTTCAGCTGACTTTGGTTCCGTTTGGGATTCCTTTAAATCTAGCTCGTGGTGTTTTGACGCCCCACGTCTCAAGATACAAATCTACATCTAGCTTGGCTGTTCGGCAGGCACAGGAGCGTTTACTTGATCTAGAACATTTGTTTCAAGTTAACCCTTCGGTTGAGGTCTCCTCATTGGTCAGGTTGCAGGCTAGTCTGGTTAATCATCTTCTCTTTGAGAAGGCTAAACAACGTATCTTTTTTGCCAGGCAGGCAATATTTGTGTGTGGAGAACGAGAGCTGATCGCCTTATAGCAGTCCCATTTGGACCTTCGCCCCCCCCCCCCCCCCCCCCGTCAGGATCTCCTTGAGGAGCGCCTCGGGTGCCAGTATCCCTGACCCAGATCTGGTGGCGGCGGAGCTTTGTAACTTATTTTCTAATCTCTATTCTTCCACGGTTCATGATTCTCCGGATGAGCTCAAACAATTTTTACAAACCATACCATTTCCTACCCTTACCCCCCTCAGGTTGGTCTTCTGGAGGCTCCTATTTCCACGGAAGATATTGCTGAGGCTATGGCCCATCTGTCCCCCTCAAAGGCCCCGGGCTCTGATGGACTCCCTTTGGAGTTTTACACATATTTTCAGGAATCAATCCCCCATTTACATTCTTTATATCAACATATCTTTAAGTCTGCCTCTCTTCCCCCGTCTATGTGCGAAGCTTTAATTGTTCTCAACCCTAAACCCGGGAAGGACCCCTCACTCCCTGAGTCATATCGCCCCATTTCCCTCCTGCAATGGGATATTAAGATCTTGGCGAAGGCCCTGGCCTTGCGTCTAAATAAAGCTATACTAGATCTAATTCATTCGGATCAGGTCGGGATTATGTGTCAGGGATCGCGGCTCCGTGCTCCGCGATCGCGGCTCTGTCCCCCGCGCATGCGCATTGGCGGCAGATCGCGCCGGGACACAGGCACTAGGTCCCGGCGAGCCGCGGCTGACAGGACGCCGCGCATGCGCAGTAGGTGCCGGGGGCACGCCTCAGGCGCCCAATGACAGCCGGGGGCGCGTCCTAGCCGGCCAATGACAGTGCAGGGCGCACTGTTTAAAGATGCCCTGCACTGTCACAGATTGCCGCAAGGTCTTCCTGTGATCCCGAGTTCCTGTACCTGTCTAGTGACCCTGATTGACCCTGACTACGCTGCCTGCTCCTGTGATTGACCCGGATTGTCCTGACTACTCTGCCTGCTCCTGCGTTTGACCCGGATTGCCCTGACCATTCTACGGATTGACTTCCCTGCTGACCCTGCGTGTGACCCGACTACTCTTCTCCTACCGATTCTGTACCCCGCTTACCCTCACGGGCCCACGATCCGTTACTACCCTGCTGGGGCCGCCATCCTCTTCATATCTGGCTCTCCCGGTACCTGTCCCCAAAGGTCTCCTCGGCCGCTGGTGGGCCTGCTCGGAGGTCGTGACCTGGCCCGGGACTGTTTCAAGTCCATCCCCACCATCAGGGGCTCTGGTGAAAGCACAGCCCGGGCTTAGACCCCACGCTCTGAGTAGGTCTGTCAGTTGGCAACCTGAGGCACCACCTGGCGGATCATAACATTATGTCAGCTAAGAATACGGCATTCAATATTCAGAGGCTCTTCATGAATTTGCAAGCTACCCATGATGATACGGGCTCTAGAGTCGTGGTCTCCCTAGATGCAGCTAAGGCTTTTGACTCCATGGAGTGGGGGTATTTATGGGAATGTTTACGCAACTTTGGTTTTGGGCCCAAGTTCCTTAAATGGCTTAGATTACTTTAACACGCTCCTACGGCTAGGGTCCTAATGGGTAGTTGGGTGTCGGATTCCTATCCCCTCTCTAGGGGCACTCGTCAGGGTTGCCCCCTATCTACCCTACTGTATGCACTGGCAGTAGAACCTCTGGTCATAGCTCTCCGATTGCATCCTGATATCCACGGTTTGCGCTCTGGTCTATTAACAGAGACGGTGAGACTTTACGTTGACATTGTAAGCGCCAAGTAGCAGGGCCCTACTATCCCTCTTGTATTGAACTGTATTGTTGCTGTATTGTCTCTCGTTATATTGTAAAGTGCTGAGCAAACTGTTGGCGCTATATAATTCCTGTATAATAATAATAATAATATGGCTTTTGTATGCGGGCCCTTCGCTTGGGGCTGTTCTTGCTCTTATTGAAGATTTCGGCCAGTTCTCAGGGCTTTGTATAAATTGGGGGAAATCCCAGATTCTTCCTTTAGATTTTGGTGCCCCTACTAGGGAACAGCTAGTCTTCCTTTGGTTAGGGTCAGCAAAATTACTTATCTCGGGATTGTGGTCTCTCGTGATGCTGAGGATTATTCCCGACTTAATGTAGAACCCCTTTATCCCATGTTAAATTCCAGATAGCAGGCCTGGTCTCATCTTCCCCTTGGGGTTATGGGACGGGTTAATTTGGTTAAGGTGCTTCTTCCTAAACTTCTTCACATTATCTGGCACGCACCTATATATTTACCGTTGCGCGTATTTAAATCCCTTGATTCTATGCTTAAATCTTTTGTTTGGGGTAATGCTCGGCACAAACTGTCATGGCGTGCCCTTAAAAATCACAGGCATCTGGGGGGTACCGCGCTCCCAGATATTAATCTCTATTATTTGGCAACCCAACTAACTCATTTTTTCCAAATGAGACAGGAGTAGATACCTTGCACTGGTGTGTGCCCCGGCTTTTTCCTGGGTTGTTCATCCCTTTCAATTATTACTGTGGGGTGTGCAGGATCTTGTGGCCGTGGGGGGGCCGGAGGGGATTGCTATATCATCACTGTAAAATTTGGTCATTAGCCTCTGGACATTTGCAGTTTCCGCATATCCATGCTTATACCCCTTTGTGGGATAATCCTGATGTCCCCGAACTGCGCACACTCCCTGATTGTAGCTTATGGATCGGCAGGGGGATTTTGTATGTTTCCCAGGTGTTCACCAGTGCAGGAGTTAAGTCTTTTCAAGACCTCAAGGGGGAAAATGATCTCCCCAACTTTGTGGTTTCATTATCTCCAGCTCAGTCATGCTCTACGTGCCCAGTTTGGCGACTTTGTTTGGGAGGAGGTGTTGTCCTCGACTAAGATGGTTTCCCCAAGGTTGTCGGACCGTCTTACTCAGCTATATATTATACATAGAACCTACTTGACACCAATTCAATTGTCTAAATACAGGCCACAATATAGCCCACACTGCCCTAAATGTGGGGACCCTGATAGTACTTTTTTTCATTTATTATAGTCCTGTCCTCTCATACAGGGTTACTGGTCTCAGGTGGTCCAGTTTCTCCATGACAAGATGGGCTCTCCTCTTACCCTTTGCCCTAAACAGTGCCTGCTTGGTCTTCTTCCTAGTTCAGAAACAGACAAATTTCAGACTCTTTTTTTGCCTACGTTTTCACAGTAGGTAGCTGCGGTAAATAGCACCATATAAGTAGGTAATTTATATACACAGAGGATGCCCGCTAAATATCACAGAGTTTGGGATAGATGGCTTGATTCTATATCTACTTGTGATGAAGAGGAGGAGGAATGATTATTCTTTGTAAATTTATTATGTTTTAAATTTATTATGTTATAAATTTTGCCTTTAGTCATGCTTTAACCCCTTGGGCGGCAGCACCTCACGGCGTCAGAAACCACTTAAAAGGCAGGGTTTTGGGTCAAGGGACCGCCGTGATTAGCTGTCACATGATCAAAAAGCTCTAGATCGCATGTTTACATTTGGTACGCAAATATGTAGACCCAGCCGCCAAGAGGCCACATATCTGCATACCGCCGGTGCCAAGGAGTTAGTTCTTAACCCACCCCCCCAACCTCTAACTTGACTTTTAAAGTAAGGCTAGCACAAGTATAACCACTACTGTTGCATGTCACCCCATCTAGCAAGAGAAGCCTCTGCTCCATTAACAAGCAGATTAATGCTGAAACCTTGCAGTACCCAAAGCCAGATACCAAAAGAAACTGGAGTGTGCAAAATCTGGTGCAGCTGTGCATGGTAGCCAATCAGCGTCTAACTTTGGCTTGTTCAATTAAGTTTTGACAAAAAAAAAAAAAAAAAACTGATCGCAACAGCTGGTGCAGCTCTGCAAAGAAACCAGTCAGCTTAATTTTTTTTTTTCAAAGCTTAATTTAACATGCTGAAGTTAGAAACTGATTGGCTATCTTCCACAGCTTTAGTAAATCAACTTCTGTCTTTATATTGGGTAGACACACTACAGCTGAATAACATCAGGCTTAGTGCTGGTGTTCTTGCTCTGTAGGGCAATGGAAGGGAGATGGAGATTTATAGGGAGTGAAAGCTAAGGGTAAACGTGACCACCAGTGCATGACCAGTTGTTAAGTGTTCAAAGGGCAGCAAAAGATGCAAAAGCTCTAAAAAGTGTTGTCACTATCCTTAAAGTGGTTCTAAACCTTTAGTGTGTAGCTCCCCCCTTCAAGTCCCCCCCCCCCCCCCAAAATACTTACCTGAGCTTGATCTCGATCCAATGATGCAAGCAAGAGCAGCAGCTTTTGCTGGGCTCTCCCTCCTTATTGGCATGCACAAATACCTTCAAAGCAGCTTGCTCTGGGGGCACTCAGCAGGGAGGAGGAGCCAGGAGCACCAGCGGGGGACCCGAGAAGAGGAGGTTTGGGGCTACTCTGTGCAAAACCATTGCACAGAACAGGTAAGTTTAACATGTTTGTTTAAAAAAAAAATCTGAACCCAATATCACTTTAAGCTGGCAATACAGGGAGTCAATTTCTAAGCTGTGGGTGGCCCTGTCAGCACCCTCCCGCCTGACATTCTTAGACCTGGAAACTGAATGAGCAGAGAGGAACATTCTCAACTAAAATGAGTGCCAATCAGATGCAGGCATTGTTCTGGTATTCTGAAGGCAGTGGGTGCTGGTTGACAGAACACAATAACCGCCTGGGAATATTCCCTCATCTAAACGGTTTAGCTTTATTGTAAGCAGTTATGCAGCAAATAGTGTTAGGTGGGTTACAATACTATTAGCATTCCAGGTTTAGCAATCCCTCTATACATGTATCGTTAAACATTAGATTACCTCAAGCTGTCCATCTATGTTCTGACTCTTCTTACCTAGAGAGGTCCTTGCTCCCTGGAGTGGTTCTCTCCACCATGTTCGTGAAGCCAATGCCATATTGCTCTGGAAGTGCATGGTCATCAGCGTGGTTCAGCTGCTTGTCACTGAGCCCTGATAGGAACAGACATTTCCCTAGGAAAAACACTTAGGAATTAGTATGATCATATAAAATGGTGACTTACATGTCCATAACAATTCAGTCACTACATAAACCAATATATTTTATAAATTCACACAGGTGGTTAGGGGTAAAAAAAAAAAAATGTATGGAAAATGTTAGTTGCATGGCCTCAACACTTCTAAACAGAATGAGCATTTGGCAAATGAAGTCAGAACTGCATGTTTACTTCGTACAGAGATCCAAAATATCAAAAGATAGGAAATAAGCATGATAGCCAGCAACCAAGCGTTTTCCAAAAAAAAAAAAAAAAAAAAACAAAACAAAAAAAAAGGATACATGATATATTTAGAATGAACCAAGGACTGTTTCCTGTCAATGTTGGTGAGAGTACCGATTAAACAATTATTATTTATAGATAACAAAAGCCACTGCAGTGAATATCCCAATCTGGGGTGCGATATAACATGGAGCCTGATAAGGACTATCCAGGTATGGGTGACTGGGAGGACACACTGATATTTGCTGGCACAACACAGATCAAAGATATCAAACATGCAGCAGATGACTTACAGAAATGGTTTCCAGGACCTGGATAATGATGGCCCTTGTAAGCTGCCATAAGACCTGGATTTATTCCAATCTGAAGAGGAGATATGAAAAGTACAAATATAACATGACTGCATTGTAAGCAACCCACAGAAAGCTGTAAAACTTCAGGCTAGAGTTTACTTACAATAACTATGTCCAAGTTAAATGTAAGAATATCAGGCAAAGTTTTTGTCAAAAGTTCAGCTTCAGATACCCCGTTAAATCGGTCCACTTTCCTTTTCACTTTGAAAGTGTCAGTGATTTTCTCTTGTTTTCCTGACGATTTTGGGGTCTTTGCACTCTTTGCAGCTTGCTTCTTTGGTTTAGGTTCAGCTGGAGCCTTACCCCTTTTCCTCTTACCCTTTGTTGCAACTTCTGAACAAGACCCAGAAACATATATATTACATATAGCTAAACAACATTAGCAGTCCTTTCATACAATTTTCCTAACATTGTAGTTGTAAGGCCCCTTTCACAGAGGCAATCCAATCAGGTTTGCTTGTCAGTTTTTCAGGCTGACCTGGTCAGATAGTGCATGCATCCCTATGGACAGGAGGGTGTAAACAGACTTGTGTCCATTTTCATCCCACTTACCTCTGAGTCCAATCCAGTCTGCTAAAAAAAAAAACCAAAAAACAAAATGGAAGGTGATCCATCCTCTTCTGTTTAGGCGTATCAGAAAAGTGGGTAGCCGGGCGTAAATGGACAGCAGGGTCCGTGTAATCTCGGACGTCCATAGAGCACTGCAGAAGCTAAGTGAACAGGGATGTGTCATCTGCCTGCTTTGATACGATCTAAATCTGCAGGGGATCTGTGAGCTGATCTCTTGCCGATCAGAACAGAATCCCCCTAGTGTGAAAGGGGCGGAAAACTCCCCTCATCTCCAGTTCCTGGGACAACTGTAAATTTTTAGAGATAGCTTCACTTTTAATACTGGTGACAATGATCACAAGGACAGAAAGTGAGAAAGCATCTAGAAAGTTTAATTTGACGTACACTTGAATGTATTTGGTATATTGCCCAATATATATATTTGGTATATTGCCCAATATACTGTATGCACACTTGATTTGTACAGCTAAAAAAAAGAAAAAGATACTACTTCATTCACCAGTGCTGACCATAGAGGAAACTCAAAAGAAAATATGTGTAAAAACAAAGAAAGTTGTGATCATGAATATTTGCATAATTACCCTAAAAGGGAGTGCATGTCTGTTAGAGCATCTAGAGTGTGTTTTTTGAGAGCACAGTGTACAGAATGTGAGTGTGTGTGTGTTACCATGTAAAAAGAGCGGAGTGGACTCAGAATCTGCTCTGCTCTATGGGCGGACAGGGATAAACAGACTCCCGTTTGTTTACACCCACCTAACCTCTGATCCGATACGCCTAAAACAGAACTGGATGATGTATGTATGTATGTATGTATGTGGACATGTTTTGTCCACATGTCTGATGAGCAGATATAAAAAGAGAAAAGCCTGGTATGATAGTGACACTGCAAGGGGTTAAAATTGTGCTGACTAACAAGAAGAAACAGTGAAGCGAATACAGCAGACCCAGAACAAGTGTGTGCATACAGGGTGCCCCAGCGGTTTTGATGTAGATTCATGTTTCTGGACAGTGACAAATCATGTAGTAACCAGACTTTTTTTTCCCCCAAGCCTATCGCATCACAATCTAAAAAACTGACTGCCAAGTGATCATTAGCATGCAGGACGTGGCTGTGTACAACATTTTGTCTGACTCTTGTTTGGTCACGCAGGAAGGTCTCATCTGTTTAGAGCTTATTTACACCAGCGCTTTGCCTAATGCAGTCCCAATGCAAGAACAAGTGTCCCATGCCAAAGTGCTGCTTTAGTGTGAGCTGAAGATAGACAGGACAATGCTGCATGCCTTTTCGATATGCTGCAATTAATACAACATGCTGCAGTGCATAAATATCAATTACAAGCTGGAAAAAAATAAAAGCAAGCACTGAAATGGGTTTTAACAATGTCTTGCAGAGTATGTTCACAGCACACAATGAATGCTGTGTGGTGGTTGAGAACAAGCTCTTACGGGTTTGCTTGCAGTGTGTAAAAAAAAAAAATAAATATATAGAACAATATGCATGTGTTTATATCCAAATTATATTTGTGAGCAAGTCCACACATCTATGTAAATGCTAATTGTTGCAGTATGTATGGCTAACTTTTACATATGTCGTAGTTCCCTTTTTAGAGCCAACCATTTATTAATGGCCAGATCATGCCACTCAATTTTTTTATGCTGCAAAAGAGAAAATCCTAATGGTAATTGTATAAACCCCATGTACATGTACTCCCATTTTTTTTTCCCAGAAAATGTCCAGCCATAGTTTAAAATAAGAAACTGAACTAAATTTATATATGCGTGATAAGCAGTTTTACCTTGTGTTTCCTGTGGAGGCTCTGGGACTTCTGTTGCTTGCATTTTCACAGGCTCGGAGCAGGGTAAACCATTCATACTATGAAGCATTTGATTCTCGTTACCTAGCATGCCAGAAAATGCCTGCAGCTCATGGGTTGGGACTCCTGTGAGGGTGTGTAGAGTCCTTTGCTCGTTACCCAGTTCCAGATTTGTTGGAGCATTCATCATTTGATGGTAGGGGTAACCATAAAACGCCTGAGCTTGCTGGAAAGTGTAATAACTGAAAAGAAAAATACACAAAGTGTTGGTAATGAAACAGCTGTATGCTATATTTGGACTACTGAGAAGCAAGAATGATTTCTTTGTTCCCCTCTAACAATTTCTAATCTCAGTAGAGGTTTTTAAATGCACAAGATATCTTTAAAAGAAAAGCAAAGAAAGGGTGCACTCTCTTTGTGCATTACCGTGGTAAAGAATTAATTTATTAAAATGCTTAAAAGTGCATACTCACAAACCAAAAGGAGATTAAAACAGAGAGAAAGAGCCAGTGGTAACAGTCCCAGATGACAGGATACCCTTGATGCGGTAAGCTGATGCGTTTCAGGAGACGCACTTCCTTCTTCAGCTAGATTATACCTGCTACTCTTACATATATAGGGCAATAAAAGAAATGAGAACAAAACCACACCCCCTTCATGACAAAGTGGGCGGAACCCACTTTGTCATGAAGAGCGTGTGTTTTTTTTTTCTCTCATTTCTTTTATTGCCCTATATGTGTAAGAGTAGCAGGTCTAATCTAGCTGAAGGAAGTGCGTCTCCTGAAACGCATCAGCTTACCGCATCAAGGGTATCCTGTCATCTGGGACTGTTACCACTGGCTCTTTGTCTCTGTTTTAATCTCCTTTGATTTGTGACAATGCACTTTAATAAATTAATTTTTTACCATGGTAATACACGAAGAGCATGAGCCCTTTCTTTGCTTTTCCTTTATCAGTACCAAGATTTCCTGATCTTTCAAGGGCTGCACTTCACAGAATGACAGATACAGTACCCCAATTCAGCATGAAGATTTGAGCGCTGGTTTCGTTTTTCTTGCCACAGGATATCCTGACAAAATACATCTCCCAACTGAGCAAGAAAATAAAATGAGAAGCAATAATTTTTACTATGGTTTTGTTCACATGAGCATCAACTTGCATAAGAGTAGTGTGTACAGCTTTCAGCAAGCTTTGAACACCTTTGTTGAAGATTTTTGATTCACCTCCACCTTGGGAATGGTAAACACAGATCTTAGGACTCATTCCCACTGGTGCCCTGTTACATGCGCAGATGTCTTTGTGGTGCCATTTATTGCGAATGATACCCCATTACACCCTCCCAATGCACATTTGTTGCAACACACTGCAGGAAAGAGTAACTCACTATTTGTTTTTAAAGGCTTTGCAAACATTTTATGTACACACTGATTTTATAGAAGCTGAAACCTGTGTGAGCAAGGGCTAAAAAGAAAAAATGTTGAATGAGACATTTAGTTTAGTCTTTTATTTTTTATTAATTTTCCTATTAAAATCTTGTGTGAAAATATATAGGCAGCCCAATGGTACTTGTGTGAATTTGGAGGACTCCAGCAGTCTTAGGGCTCATGCACACAAGGACATTTATTGTCATACACTGTCCCAGCTCAGTGATTTTCAATGGCGAGTGTGAGTAAAGTGTGAGTGTCCAATCAGCTGCGGACAGGAAGCCTATTTAAATCAATGTGACAGGCTGACAGTTCTTGCATGTAATCGCACATGGACTGATTACCTGCTTTTAAAGCAGCACTGAAGGCATTTAACAAAAGACAGGCTAGTATTGCAGAAAAGACATACACTGTTCTGCAATAAAATACAGCTACCTACTTGCTCGCAGTATTCTGCGCCATGTGCACTGTGCAGCTCAGCTTACATCTCTAGCACAGTGCCTGTGTGCCAGGATGACCAACTTGTGCGCATGCACAGGAGTTATGCCATTCTGTGCCAGCTAATGGAGATATCCGAAGAGTGGCACCAGGGAGAAGATGCTGGTGCAAGACTCAGACTGTTAAAGAGGAGGTACGTTTAGTGCCTTTAGTTCTGCTTTAAAGTGGTAGTAAAGTCTCTTGGGGGGAACCCCCCCCCCCCACACACACAATTACCTCCTGCAAGATAATATCATAATGTATGCATTAGCAAAGCACAACACTAGCATTTTATGAAATATTTACCTTAAAATGAAGCCCTCCAGCGGCATGCATAGAATGCATGAAGGTAAAAAAACCTTGAGCCTTTACAACCACTTTAAGGATGGATAATCACTCCTGGAGGCAGACAGTTCACATCCAGGCAAACTCTTCCGTTCCTAACTGCAGATACTCGCTCCACATGCAATGACACTGAACTTCAGTGGCGGGTTGGAAAATAACTGGCCATACCCACCACTGAAATACACTGATCTGGGTAATGTACAGCCCTCATCAGTTCTGAGCATGAACTGTTTGGTTGGAGCCCTGATTTATAAAGGTGCAAAGCAATGTTCCCAACGCACACATTCCTAAAAATGGCATAGGTGCTGTAGCAACCACTGGTTGGAGACAAGGTTGACGTCAAAACAAAAAAAATATGTCTCCAGCACACCAGGGAACTCCATAAAAGGATCCAATGTTTTACTGAATGATCACGTCACAGGATGGGGAAGTTTCTGAACCACACAGGACCCCTTCATCAGTCCTGTGTGGCTCCGAAATGTCGCTGTACTATGCTTTGATGTGATCATTCAATAAAACATTGGATCCTTTTATAGAATTCCCTGGTGACATGTTTTTTGCCCTGATTAATAAAGATGTAATGACAATGATCTCCCCTAGACATGTATGGTGTCCCCAGCTCTTTCCAATGTGGCTCCAAAATGTTATTATCCTATACGCTGATGTGATCATTCAATAAAATGTTGGATCCTTTTATAGAGTTCCCTGGTGACATGCTTTTTGCCCTGATATATGACAGTGATCTCCCCTAGAAATGTAACGTGTCCCCAGCTCTGTCCAGTGTCCATCCACACCTGTGGCGTGTCCCCAGTCTCCATCCACACCTGTGGCGTGTCCCCAGTCTCCATCCACACCTGTGGCGTGTCCCCAGTCTCATTTCCCTTTCATTATTTCCTCCTGGCTGTCTGCACTCTTATGACAGCCCTGCCATATGTGCATTATACAGAGCAAACTGTATGTGTGGGGCCCCCCCGGGTGACATCAGGGGCCCCCTATACCTTGTAGGTTGTTGAGCACTGATGTAATTATTTTTGTGCAAGATAGCAGCTGGGTAGCAGTATTCCTGTCCTGCACACAGGACCTGCACTGCTCAGTACAGAGGAAGTGATCAGCGTACAGGACAACAGCTGTGTACACTGATCATAACCTACCAGAGCCTGCTGCTGACCCCCACACTGTCCTGCCATCGACTAACTGCACTAAACCGACTGACATAAGGCTGCAAGGTGATCTATCTACACTCGGCTACATCATGTAATATTCAAGTCATGGTAAATGACAATCCCAGCCTCCTGAACAGTGTCCCCGCACAAGCGATCCGACAGTAGCTGTACACCCTCTCTAATCATAAACCTAGAAGGGAATGAATGGAACTGCTGGCTTCCATTGCTCCACTTCTTCCCTCCATAATACACAATGGCCAGGGCTCTGCGCGTGCGCACTTCTCCCTCCCTGTAGGCCGCTGTTAAATACCCCAAACAGACGCACAGCGCAGCCCCGCTCCATTTTCCGGGCATACCTGCCGGGGTCCTGAGCCTCCATGGTCGTTCTTTCTACAGTGGGGAGTCTGATACCCCCGAATTCTCTCAGCAAGGATTCTGAACACAGTATGGCAGCACAGGGGTCTCTCCAGCCGTACAAACACACAGAACACACGTCACCGCACCGCCGGCCAACCAGAGCAAGACTACGCGCCACGTGATGACATCCAGGAGGAAGGGGGTTAACTCTCTGGCTACCGGGGTCCATGCTGCTACGGGGGATGGGAAGAAGGCTTCATTTTTGCATCATGGGTGGTATTTTATTCTATCCCAACGATTGTGGATTCAGCTATTTAATGCAAATTAACTTACTCCACGGAACTTGTATTGATGGGGGTGTCATTAGACACGGTGTGATCACATCTGATTCGTACTATCGATAATTGATCACTTGATTGAGAAACCATCCCTATAGATCTCCATGGACAACCATGCAGAGCTCGGAGCCCTAGAGCTCATAGACGTGATGGCTCATCTAATGGAGGTTACATGGTATTAATGGAGAATATTTGCTGCCCCAACTGTAATCAGAGCCACAGAGGAACCCACACTTACTTCCACTCAGGACAGCTGCAGTATGTGTCAGGTCTGGTGAAGGGAGGTGTGCGCATGTCTGTTCACCTGACACCACTCCCATGTTGTCACTGTCCTACCTGTTTAGCAAGCATGTACAGCTTCTTTAAAAAAAAGTGCAGCTTCAGTCTGAGACATCACACACAGGTGTTTGCTTTTCAAAAGAAATATTTTAAAGCAGATATAAACCTGTCGACTTGAAGTATAATCAAAGACAAAACTTTTTTTTTAGTTTTGGATGGAGTAGACAGGTATTAGAACACCTGTCAGTTTTATTGCTGTCTGTGCACCTTTAGCCTGGGTTCACATATCTGCAGTGCGGCATATCGCATGTGATTCGCATAGGAACCGCACTGCATTCCTGTGTGAATCACATGCAATTTGTATGCGGTGCAATTATAGTCATACATTTTGTATGGCTCCAATCGCACCACACCAAAAAGGTGCAGGACCCTTTTTTGGGTCCGCGCTAGAATCGGATCGCATGGGTATTCACACCTATGTGATCCAATTCTTCACATTGCACCGCATTTTGTGGACCGCTTTTGGGGTATTGTTAACATACACACCCACAGTAGTTTGCATGAACGGGGTGAAATTCTGATGCTGTGTGGAATTTGCACTGAAAACGCTGTGAATTCCACATTGCATCAATGTGAACCAGGGCTTGAGATTCACCCACTTTCCTTTTCTGTTTACTATTATAATTGAAGGTAAAAGAAAACCCCAAATTTTGGGTTGTCCCCACAAATGTAATAGGGAAATCTTTCAATGGGGACACTAGATCTGGTGACCTGGATTTCATCTCACTTTCTGTTTGGCTATGGGAA